CTTAATCTAGGCGGGGTTGAGATCTCTGAAATCTCACCCCGCTAATCTCTTCTTTGCCCCCCAGGCCGTCCTTTCTGCTCTGATTTCAGTCCTTTGGCACCCAGGCTTTGGGAGCCTTTACCAATACTATTTTTTTGTTCCTCCCGAGCTTGGGAGTGTTCGCTGGCGGCGACACCCATTCTTTTTAGCAAGCATTACTTTTCCGTTATCGAACAGAGTAAGGAAGCCGGTACCAGCTTTCACAACCCATAGAGGTATTTGAACATTTCATGTTCTTACTTGTACCAACCTTTATTGGAGTTAGTAGGAACAATATAATATATAAAGCAACAATACTCAATAGACAAACAGCATAAACTAGGAAAAAATACAAGAAAGAAACATGTAGACGGTGTTGCCTATAGATCGCTGTAGGACTGAAAGCGCTTTTGTAATAGGAATATTAAGAACTAAAAGGGAAAAATAAGCGTTCTAGACAAGAAGGCCAACTCCTGGTGGCCCAGAGGAACCTCCTTTTATAGTGAGTCAAGGGAGTCCTCAGGGTCCTTGTAGCGGAAAAAGGAACGAACAATACGCGTTTCGAATAGCCCTTGTCGTCGTATCAGACGATATTCAAGGAACGTCTCCGCTAATAAAATACCGGATTACAGTCATATAGGAAGAAATAGTAAGAATAGAATAAAATAATGAAGGTTATTTCGATCAGTCAAATATAGAGGTTCAAAGATCGGATTATTTGCCGGACGTAATAACGACAAACCGCCAAATAAAAGAGAAGACTTATTCCAATATCCAGTATATTGGAATTCTAAATAAAGTAATAACTCCATTTGAGTTAAGTCCCACCAATCGGTCAATAGCAAAATAGCGCGATCAATTCCAATATCCAATATATTGAAACTTAGACCCCAATAATAACTCTAGTTGGGCTAACTCCCAATGATCGAATTGGTTATCCATAAAAATGAATAACCAATTCCAATATCCAATACATTGGAATTCTAAGTAGGGTGTCTGAACCTCTAACTCGAGTGATAAAACCTTTACCAAACAATCAAAATGCTAATATACATAAAAGTATTAGCAAAGAGAATGCAGTCAATAAAAAAACGGCAAAGGAAATCTTTGGGCTACTAAAAACTGCCTTTCCGGAGAAATACAAATTTTTCAATGACAACCCCCTTCATTGGTCAGCTATATATAAGATCACATAGATCACGAGGCCACCTTCAAGTTTGTTTCTTCCCTCAAGAAACTTGACTCGCTTCTCGCGACAGTCCCCAGGGTGTGGTCTTTGGTGAACTGACCTAACACCTGAAGCAAATAGTGTTCGGTCTAATGACACTATAGAACACATGCTTTTTCATCACTGTTTTTCTGTAATTTAGCTAGGGTCCGGAATAACCTTCATACTTTAGAATGACTCCTCTACATTCCTTCTCATTTGCAATATACCGCTGCATTTTAGTATTACAGGAGCAGTCACACGTTATTGCAGGGGGAACTTCTTGAATAATGTTGCCTGACAATGATGAATTGTTTTTTTGTTATTTTTACCGACAACTAACGCCTAATTTGATTTAACAAGCCAAGGTTCTTGAGGAATTTTGCAGTTGCTCTTCCAAAGTTATTCAAATTTTTAGCTGACTAACGAAAAAAAAATTGTAAACAAATTTAACAAAGAGATAAACTGTAGTTCAATTTTATATCCTTGTTTTTTAAAGACGTTTGTGCCCACAGCAGAAATAAAACAGTGTTTGTATAAATAACTGGCCGAGAAATTAGAAAAGATCAACCAGAAACTTTCAGCATTTCAAAAAAAAACTTGGATACAGTAATAAAACTTACAAGAAGAACAAAGACCTTCAAAATAAATGATACTATTTGCAGATGTAATATATGGAGAAATTAATAGCAAGCTTTTCAAACTTTTTATCACTGTATTGATAAGTTCATTTCTTCAGAAAGCTTTTTATTTGAGTAGTTAGAGAATTAAAGCTTTTAAACGAGCACTTTTTTTAGTATATCAATGATGATCCAGAACGTACATAATAAATGAGTTTTTCTGCGCCACATGCACTGAGTAAGACCCTTCTCTTGATCTATATTCATTTTAACTTGTAAACTTATCGATAACGCAGTTCTACATACAGCTTATGTGTAACATCATTTGCACAGATCATATAAAAGAAAGCTTTTGCTTGCGATCACAAAAAAATGTTTTTTATAAATATTTTCTATTACTTGCTGACAGTTTTTCCCTTCTATAATTGATTAAATCATTATTTAACTTTTTGGAAATTGCTAAAGAACCAAAGTAATAGCAGTAAAACTGCTTCAAAGTAATTATTAACTCAAAATTTATTTTACGGCTTACACCTTTTAACAAACAATTAAAAGATGTTCAAAACTTGGTAGCTGAAACTGAGTATCCCCCTTAGTTAATTATTTTTTAGATTTAAAACATAGTAGAACAAGTTTTTCTATCTTTCTACCTCTCTTCTAGTGAGAATTATAGTTAAAACTTAAACATGAAATTAACTTAAAATTTACTGCAATGCATTTGTCAGAATTACTACTACATATTTACTGTCTGTGGCTTACTGCATTCGACAAACTAAATAGCACGTGTAATTTTTTATTGTATTCTTTGGTAAATTATA